GCGGCAGCAGCAGCTGTGCTGGCAGGGGTGCAGGCAGGGGCACGGCAGAGCCCACCCTGGTCATCCGCCTGCTTCCCAGGGGGAGGTTGTCTGTCCTGTCCCGTCCCTGGGTGTCCCTTGCACCCTGTGGGTGCCGCAGGGGGATAAGCACAATCCCAAGGGCACCCCCAGTTTCCCCAGTGCTGGGGGAATTCTTGTGGGGACCCCCGCACAGGCACGCACTGGTCTCAGCTGAGTTTCGTAGCATCAAGAGTGATGGACTTGGACAGCTCAGGCGGGATCTTGTGCTCTCAAAAACTGGTCCGCTTGTTTGATTTGATTTTATTTGATTTTTTTTTTTTTCCCCCCCTCCAACCTGTACCGGTATCTCCAGTAAGAGCATTGCCTGCAGGCATCAGGGGAGGTGAAGACAATGCTGGCAGCCTGCCTGTCTCTCTAAACGCCTGGTGGTACCCACTGCGGCGGGGGCTGAGCATCCCCTGCCCCTTTGGACATCCCTGGCATGTGGATCCGGCCGAGCTCCCCCCGTTTCCCCATAGCCCCGGTCACATCCGTCCCCCGCCCGTCTGGGCTGACCACGGAAGAGCTTTCGCCCAGAAAAGCTGGATTTGAACATTTTCTGCTGTTCTCTCAGTTTCCTGTGGCCTTCCCAAGAACAACATCCCTGACCTCATCCTCCCCCGGTGCGCGCCGGGATGCTGCCGATGCGCAAGCCGCCCGTCGGGAATCCCGCCCCGGCGCCCGCGGGCCGAACTCATCCTTCCCTGGGTACCAAGACAAATACAGCTGCGGGAATGATGGGGCCGTCAGCAGCTGGCTGGACTAAAAGGCTATTTTGGGTAGATCCTGTGCTCATTTTTGTTGAGGTAGGAGGACAGAGATGAATAGACTGAGCGGAGAACAAAGTGGTTTTGGCTCGAGCCAGGTATTTTCAACCCAGGGAGGAGCATCGAAACATGCTTATGATTATGTGGCTTGGTTTTTTTCCACACTTTGAGGGTTTTTTTTTTTTGCAGTGAGAAACGGGGAGGTTTCACGCAGCCGCCCCTCAGGCTCTCCGTTTTGGCGACGCAGGTGGGAATTTGCTGAATGGTTTTCCAGAGGGTCTGGGCTCCAGCTCCTGGCACGCAGAGCCATCCCAGGAGGTTCGCAGGGTTTGCAATAGCTCCACACGAGCCCCGGAAACAAACTCATCATCTGCCAACCCCCAAGGGGAAACAGAGCCCTGCCGCTCCTGTTGCTCTCTGGCCATCCTCATCCAGAGCGGGGACCAGGACCACCCCTCTGCCTGACTAGCAGAGGGCGGGGGGGGTGGGGGGTGGTGGTATTTCTTTTTTACATTACCTGCCTTGTCTGCCTGGCTTGAGAAGGGGAAATGTTAAAACCAAAGAAAAAAGCTGGGGGGTGGGAGAGCAAAATAAACAAATTCAAATAAATAATCCATTTAATACAGCTTTGAAATGTCGAGCTGAATGTCATCACGCTTGCTGGGCTCAGTGATTAAAAAATAATAATCTCAGTGATTAAAAAATAATAATAAAGAAGAGATTTTACATTAAAAATACATAAGTGGGCACAATTGGAAGAAGAGCCTGTAAAGCTGTAGGAATCCCTTCTGCGTGCCCCGGGCAGGGGACTAATGGGTGCTGCGACCAACGTGGAGTCTGGCTGGTCTCATGGTGGTCAGGGACAGGGGTCCAGCCCTGGGGGTCCCTCGCTTATCCCATGAGTGACACCAGGCTGGAAATGGCAGCAGGGTGGCATTTTTGGGGCATTTCTCCCCAGTGGCAAAGCAAGTCCTGGGAGTTTTGGGGCTCCATGGCTGAGGGAGGTGGGGTGGGATGGGATGTGGTGGGTGGGGATGGACGTGGGGGTCCGGGCTCCCCCACCTTTCTGTGGCTTTGCCTTTGGCAAGGTGACGACATGGCAACGGCCGGTCTGTGAAGGCAGCGGTGGGGACAGCTCGTTACCCAGGAGCATTGCCAGGCAGCGCCGTAAGAGCCAGTTCTGCTGATACCGTAACTTGCACCGGATCATGGACTTTAATTCATCCTTTTGATGATCAGGGTTTTGCCGGGGCAAGGCCTCCTTCCAGCTCAAACTAATCCACAAGCTTTGCGTGAAAAACCGTATTTATTCTGGCTGCTGATCATCTCCTGGTGCTCAGCAAGGGGGGAGGCGCCGGGGCGGTGATTTAAGCCCCCGGCCGGGGACTCAGCAGCAATGGGAGCAGCAGCAACCACAGGAAGGAACAAGAGGAAAAAGCCCAGGGAGAAACAATAGGTTACAACACAAACACCACAGGGATTTCAAAGCAGGACTGGCGGGGAGGGTGATGCTCAGGGGGACCTTTGAGCTGAAACTCTCTGAAAACAGGAGAGTCCAGCCTGGATGGGCAGAGCCACGTCCTTCCCGCAAGGACGAGGTTGGACGTGATGCCCCAGGCTGGGGTTCGCACAGGGCTCCCTTGGGCACGTTTGGGTTTTACTAATTGGCTTTGGTGGCTCTTTGTTTTACCCCACAGTGGTTGTTCGCAGGGAAGTGGTTAAACCCATTTAACGCAGGGCTCTACAGGGTTGGTGGAGACCAGCTTCTGATTGTGGTGAACAACACCGTTGGTTTTCACGATTAACATTTTAAAACGCGCACGACACTGATTTAATCAGAGGAATAACCGTATGAGAGTCTGGGCACCTCACGCGTATTTATGGCTTTAATTATTTATAATAATAGTACCATGGGCTTGATTGAAGGGTTCTTTGCTTGTACCTGCTGCTGCTGGCTCACGTCGGATGCTTGTACTGAGCGTACAGTACAGGTTTTCTCTGCTGGGTTATCCCGAAAGCTGCTGGGATCGTGACAGGACCCCGACTTCACCAGATCTGGTGGGGGGGTCCCCAGGCCAGCACAGCCCTGGGAGGCTGCAGAGGGTTAAATCACGGTGGCGCCTGAATCTCTGTTTCCTCCCTTAACCCCTAATCCGAGGGTGAACGGCCTTGGTTTGACCTGGGCTTTAATATTACAGCTCCGGCCCTAGACCCGTGCGGAGGGAGCTGCCTTTGTGCCGTGGGACGCTGAGCTGCCGCCTCGCCCCCCCTCCCCATCCCACCGGCCATCCAGCTGCACCGGGAGCACGGCCACCGCGCCGGAGAGGAGAGGTGAGAGGGTGTAATGCCGGCTTCACCGGCACCCGGCATCAACGGGGTGCGTGGTGAGCTGCCTGCTGGAGTTGCAGCCCAATTTGCTGGGTGCTCGGGAGAAAAAAAAAAGAGAAGAGCAGTAATATTTTGCAGATTGGAAGGTCTCAAAGCTGTTAATGAGCTGTTAATAAGCATCATCCTTGTTTTTCCCCTGGAAGTAGGCGGGTAATAGACATTTTTTGCAGGATGAGGCTACAGCCACATCCTGGTGGAGACGGGGGACTGAATCACGTCCTGTGGCTCCAGGAGCTGATGTCTCTTGGTCGGGGGGATGGAAACCCAGTGAGGAGCCGTGGGAGCATCTTCCTCTAGGGCCAGCAGCGGGGTCCCCACAGGATCCCCTGTACCCGTGTGCTCAATCCCCTCTCTCCATGGCCCCTCGTGCCTGCGTGCACTGGGGGAGCTCGTGTCCCTCCCACGGGCTGGGCTCGCTGTGATTAACACCGTGTGTTTGCTCAGCAGAAACACACAGAGAAACATCACTGCCCAGAGAGCCCAGGACTGACCAGGCTGTCGTTAGTTTACAGATAATGGCGCTTTCCAATTTGTCCAATTACTTGGATGATGTTGATAACTACAGTGACTACCCAGATTACACCTACGAAGAGAGCGGCAGCGTGTGGACAGACCCATCCCACGACCCAAAGGATGTTGCAAGGATCCTCTCTGTCGTCATCTACAGCATGTCCTGCGTGTTGGGCATTCTGGGGAATGGCCTCGTTATCGCAATCATAACCCTGAAGATGAAGAAGTCGGTCAATGCCATCTGGTTCCTCAATCTGGCTGTCGCCGACTTCCTCTTTAACATCTTCCTGCCCATAAACATTGCTTACACGGCCATGCGCTACAACTGGATCTTTGGGACAGTCATGTGCAAGTTGAACTCCTTCCTCCTCATCCTCAACATGTACACCAGTGTCCTCCTGCTCACCACCATCAGCTTCGACCGCTACGTGTCAGTGGTTTTTCCCGTCTGGTCTCAAAACCATCGGTCAACCAACCTGGCGTATTTGGTTTGCTTGATCATCTGGACCGTCGGCATCATTATGAGCTGCCCGTCTCTCGTCTTCCGAGACACGGCACAAACCCGCAACTCCGTGATTTGCTTTAGCAACTTTTCCCTCTCCAGGAATAGGTCTTACCAAGCCCTGGCATTAATGAGGCACCGAACGGTGAACATCACCAGGTTCCTCGCCGGATACATCCTTCCCATAACCATCATCACTTTCTGCTACATTGCCATTGTCTTCAATTTGCGTCGAAACCGCCTTGCCAAGTCCAAAAAGCCCTTCAAGATCATCGTCACCATTATAGTCACCTTCTTCCTTTGCTGGAGTC